ATAGGCATGGTTTACAAAAGGGAAATGAACCAGATCAAATTCTCAACATTCAATGGGGCATGGACAAATAAGGGAATTCCAGAAAAAAAAAATTTTTTTCTGCTTCATTGACTATTGTAAAGCCTTTGACTGTGTGGATCACAACAAACTGTGGAAAATTCTTAAGCACATGGGAATCATGGATTGCTTTCCCTGTCTCCAGAGAAACCTGTATGTGGATCAGTCAGCAACAGTGAGAACTGGACGGGAAAAACAGACTGGTTCAAAAATGGGAAAAGAGTACAAGATAGTATAAACTGTCATGCTGCTTGTATAACTTATATGCAGAGTACATCATGATAAATGCCAGGCTGGATGAATGACAAACTAGAATCAAGATTGCTACTGGAAGTATCAACAGCTTCAGATATGCACATGATACCACTTTAATGGAAGAAAGTGAAGAGGAATGAAAGAGTCTCTTGACAATGGTGAAAGAGGAGATTGAAAGAGCTGGTCTGAAACTCAACATGCAAAAACACTAAGATCATGGCATCTGGTCCCCTGATTATATGGGAAATATAAAGTGGAAAGAGTGGAAGAAGTGACAGATTTTATTTTCTTGGGTTTGAAAATCTCTGCAGATTGTGACTGCAGCTACGTAATTAAAGATAATTGATGTTTGGAAGGAAAGCAATGACAATCCAACACAGCTTATTAAAATACAGTGACACCACTTTGCCAACAAATGTCCATTCTGTCAACAGGAGGGTTGTTTCTTCACTAGTTATGTATGGATTTGAGAGTTTCACCATAAAGAAGGCTGAGCACAAAAGAACAGATGTTTTTAAACTGTGTTGGTGTAGAAGACTCTTGAGAGTCTCTGGGCCTGCAAGGAGATCAAACCCGTCCATTGTAAAGGCAATCAGTCCTGAATATTCATTGAAAGGATGGATGCTGAAGCTAAAGTCCCAGTATGTTGGCCACCTGATGCGAAGAACTGACTCATTGGAAAAGACACTGATGCTGGGAAAGTTTGAAGGTGGGAGGAGGAGGGAATGACAGAGGATTAGATGGTCAATGGCATCATCGACTCAAAGGACATGAATTTGCGCAAACTCTGGGAGACCATGCAGGACAGAGGAACTTGGTGTGGGGTTCAGGGGTCGTGGAGAGTCAGACATGACATAGCGATTAAATATCAACAAGAACAATGTGACTAAGCATGAGTGTGGAATTTCTATTTTGTTGGGTTCTCACAGATAATTTACAACAGGCTTATAAACTGAGGTCTTGGGGTCTATCTTGAGGTGGCACATTCGTGCCATTCAATTTTTAAAAACAATCTTATAATATCTTGGTCCATTCAAGGTGAGATGGATGAACTTGAACTCAAGGAAATCATCATGGTTTCAACCATAAAGGCAGATTCTACACAAAGGAATGGGGATGCTGGCTAAGCTTTGTATCTCTGAACTCTTCATAATGGCCATAAATAACATTCTTATTTTCACATGGCCTAAGGGAAAAAGGTTTGGTTAAAATTTAAACACATCAATATGTGATCACAACCCTTGCCTAAACTAAATAGTTGCACAGCACATGAGCAATAGCCACAAGTTAGTAAAATTCATGCCTGAAATATTTCCCCATACTTGGATTGGTAACTTCTGGTATTAGAGGTTTTCTAAATTATGCCTTCATTTTCTTATTCCCACTATATGGTTTCCTTTGGGTGAATCATGAATGCTTCCACTGTCTTTACTCTTCTCCATTTTTGCAATCCTTTTTACCTTGATTTTACCCAGTGACTAAACAAGGGAAATAAGCAGAAGTGCAAGACTTCTTGGAAGGTCTCTTGGGGACCAGCCATTGCAGCCTTCAGGTGTGTCTTGGAGACTGTGAGGTGTCCCCACATCAGGCCCAGTACCAGCAGTGTCATTGATGGCGTCTTGACATCAAGAAAATAGGTTTACTCTCACTGTCCCATCCATTCATGAACGTCACAGTCAACTCAGTAATGCTGCTATGCCCACCTTGGAGAATCCATGGTTGACCACAGGAGGTCACTGATAATCTGAGGACATGCATAGTCTGAATTAAGCTGTCCCAACATGAGCAAGGCTGGTGGACTCGGCGTGGCCTTGGGAAAATTGCATATTCTTGTCAGGGCTCTGAGACTCTGAAGCTGCTTTGGATGCTTTTTCTTTTTCTCCAAGCACACTAATAATTTTCAGTGTTTCAGACATGGAGCAGTGGTGTGTGCATGCTTCAGGGTCACTGATGGGCAGTCTTACCTTTCATGTTGCTGAGTAATTGCAGGAAGGTGAGATGGAGGCCAGGAGAGAGAGGATGGATGTAGAGGGTGTTGAGGGGACACACAGTAGGTCAGAGATGCTTCTTGTCCCGAAACACGGGCAGGGCAGAGAGGAGGGGCAGCACTTCAGGAGGGGAAGGAGGTCACCACTAGGTGGTCACTGCCTACACGTCACAGCAGGTAAGCTCTCTTCACATGCACAGACACGGCAGTGGGCTGGGTCATACCCCAGTCTGATGGATTCGGGAAACACAGTACTTAAAGTGTTCAAGAGGTTGCCTGACCTGGCATAGGCACTCGGAAACAGAAGGTAATAAACAGAAGGTAGGTTGGTTTTGGTCAAGAGAAACCCACTCCATAGCTGTTGTAAGAGAAATACAAAGAAGTTTTGAACCTGGATTTGATCATATGTTCATGATATTTAAAACACTCTCGGGGACTTCCCTGGTGGTCCAGGGGATAAGAACCTGCCTGCCAGGGCAGGAGACATAGGTTCAATCCCTAGTCCGAGAAGATCCCACATGCAGTGGGGCAAATGAGCTCATGTACCACAACTACTGATCCTACACTCTAGAACCCCGAGCTGCAACTAGTGAAGCCCACGCACCCCAGAGCCTGTGCTCAGCAACAAGAGACATGACTGCAATGAGAAGCCCGCACACCACAACTAGACTCTACTCCACAGTCACCACAAGTGCAGAAAGCCCATGGGCAGCAGGGAAGATTCCACAAATAAAAAATAAATAAATTAATTAAAAAGCCAAAAAATAATCTGTTAGGTTTATCAGAACACACATTCTTGAAAGCATATTAGTAAGACAGCAAGGAGTGACTGGTTAAGTATAGGAAAAGTTGAAGATGAGGAAAAGTCGTGCCTCCTCTCCTTGCCATGGTTAATGGTACCACTCTGAGCATGCATGGCGTGAGTGAGTCCATACATGATGGGCTGATCTTCATGCCCGCCGTCTGTCACAATCATCTGACAATATGTTAAAGTGCCACTATTTGTATCTTTTCTCTCTCTCATAGACACGGGTTACACTGAATTTCAACTCGTTAGTGCAGACAACAACGCTCTCATAGCTCATGATGTCAATGTGGATGGACATGGCAAGAAGACAGAAGTGGTGCAATTATTTGGTAGGTATGACATCCTATAATTCCCATTGCCATTCTCATGTAATACGGTCCCTGTCAGGACTTACATTCAGAATATCAGGAGGGGCTGACAGGATTCCATATCCAGGGTGGGAGGCCTGCGTCTTAATTCTCACTGAATTCATGATCCTGGAAGGTAATCTACCAATAAACAGGGTGTCATAGGGCACAGAATATCACGTCAGACATTTCAAAATGATTCCTACCTGCTGAAATTTTAAAAATGAAGTTTTACTAGAATCTTTTATGTATCTCAATGAATTTCAAGCCATGTGTAAATGAGGCTGACTTTATTTCATATTTAAAATTTTATTTTTTTTTAATTGAAGGATCACAGCTTTATAGATTGTGTTGTCTTCTGCCAAACATCCACACGAATCAGCCATAGTTATACCTAGGCTTGTGTGAAAGTTGCTCAGTCATGTCTGACTCTTCGTGACCCCATGGACTATACAGTCCATGGAATTCTCCAGGCCAGAATCCTGGAGTGGGTAGCCTTTCCCTTCCCCAGAGTAACTTCCCAACCCATGGATCAAGCCCAGATCTCCCACACTGCAGGAGGGATCTTTACTAGCAGAGACACAAGGGAAGCTCATAGGTATATATATGTCCCCTCCCTTTTGAAACTCCCTCCCATCTCCCTCCCACCCCTTGAGGTTGATACAGGGCCCCTGCTTGAGTTCTCTGAGACAGACAGCAAATTCCCATTGGCTAGCTATTTTAAATGCGGTCATGTTAAGTTTGCATGATACTCCCTCCATACATCTCACCGTCTCCTCCCCTCTCCCCATGTCCGTAAGTCTCTTCTCTATGACTGTTTCTCCACTGATGGCCTGCAAGTAAATTCATTATCAGTACCTTATTTCCAGATTCCATATATATGCAGATTTCAGGTGTATGTATTATTAAACAAGATCAGTTTTCTGGTGCACTGTAAACCTTGGAACAGACTCTTATATGATAAATTTTTGTCCTCCATATTTCAAATGAATTGTTCTTATGAACACTGACATCACCCCATCAAGTAACCACAGAGAAGCACTGAGAGGTGTGTGTGTGCCATGGGGACAACAGGGGTCTATTTCAGAAAAGGCTATTGGGTAGAATGGTAGGTTCATGAAAGAGTAAGTCACCCCCGGTTATTATGTGTGATGAGGTGAATCTGTATGTGGAAGGGAACAAAGATTTTTACTACTAAGCTTGGTGTACAAACAGATATGAGTGGCAGGTACATATTCAAGGAAGGTATGAGAAGCAAGTAGATTGCATATTAAGATGGTGTGAACCCCAAATCCATGGAGATCCTGGCAAGTATTTGCGATCCAGCTCCTGATGCTGAGGGGTAGAGTGTCCTACTCACCAAGTGGGACTGGGGTCAATTCTTAGGACGGAAAGCACATGTCTGTGTCATGGGAATTGTTTGAAGCTTTTAGATTATACAAGTGAACATCTGATTGGCCCATTGCATTTCTTGCTCTGTATATTCAGACATTTCTGTGGGTTCCCAGGGGTCAACAATTCTGCTTTTTGCATGGTGATTTTACAGGTTCAGGAGATAGTATTGACTCAGAAAACATAGAGAAGTTCAAGAATGCAGTGAGAGAAAAAGGGATTCCAGAAGAAAATATCCGGAATATCATTGATAATGGTAACGGACTTAAACATTTTTCCCTAGACATATCATTCACCTGGTGTATAAATATCAGGAAACAAGTCTGCTTATTTAAAATTTCTTCTTCCACAAGTAATCTCTTTTAAGAACCGTTATTTAAAGAAAGAAAGAATCCTTGAAAATGCCGGGGAATGTTAGTAATCAATGGCTCTTTTATTTCTCCCATTTTGTTTTTCCCCAGATGACTGTCCAGAGGAGTGAAAAAAAAGTGACTCTGACACTTGTAAGTACATGCAGTCCGTTATTAATGGTGACCCTTCCAGATGAAGCAATAAGGACACACTGTTTTTTCATATGTGTGAAATGTTTCTCCCAACAATTTACATGTGTCACTAAAGCATAATTTCGCTACTCTTGAGGCATATAAAATTGCAAGCAGTTTGGTTGATTAACACTGAGCAGCTGTGGCGAGAGAGTCTTATCTTGCCGGAATCTCGCAGACCAGAGTCATCAGAGAGAAGCAGGAATCCCCACGAGTTGGTGGAAATTATTAGTGTTCCCGTCAGTCCTGGCCTCGTGGTTGTTCTCACACATTCCTCCTCCAAGAGAATCGGTGTTAAAGAGAGCCCTGCTTCCTATAGCTCAGTTGTTAAAGAATCCGCCTGCAATGCAGGAGACCCTGGTTCAATTCCTGGGTTGGACAAATCTGCTGGAGAAGGAATAGGCTACGCATTTCAGTATTCTTGCCCTTGTGGCTCAGCTGGGGAGACCTGGGTTTGACCCCTGGGTTGGGAAGATTCCCTGGAGAAGGGAAAAACTTCTCCAGTATGCTGGCCTAGAGATTTCCATGGACTGTCATGGTCCATGGGATTACAAGGAGTTGGACATGACTGAGCAACTTCCACTTTCATGCTTTGTGCAAGACCACTGATTAATCTCATATGATTCTGATAGAACCAGTAAGTGCCTTCCAACCACACTGTCTGAAACATGTATTTGCTTTATATTCCCACTCAGAAGATGTTCCAAAAGTGAGATGTTTAAACTTTCTAAACTAAGACAGCCTCAGGAAATGACACTGCTCTAGACCAAAGTATGGTAAAAAAAAAAAAAAAAAGATACACTATGGTTGTGATAAAAAATAAATAAATAAATAAATAAATAAATAAAAAAGAAAGCTTAAAAAAAAAAAAAGAAAACTTCTCCTCTGATTGTAGAAGGCTTCTGAAATAATTAAAAAAAAAAATAAATAAATTTTTGTTGAGAAAGAAAATTAAGAAACAAAGTGAGGAAAAGCACTAGCTTCCAGGTGAATATGATAACAAAGATGTTGTATGTATATTCAATGGAACATTGTACAGCCATAAAAAGAAGCAATGAACTTTGCAGCAACATAGATGGACCTAGATATTTGTCATACTGAGTGAAATAAGCCAGAAAGAGAAAGACAAATACCATAAATGTCACTTATAGTTTTCAGTTCAGTTCAGTTGCTCAGTCATGTCCAACTCTTTGTGAACTCAAGGCCTGTAGTACACCAGGTTTTACTCAAACTCATGTCCATCGAGTCGGTGATGCCATCCAACCATCTGATCCTCTGTCGTCCCCTTCTCCTCCTGTCCTCAATCTTTCCCAGCATCAGTATCTTTCCCAGTGAGTCAGTTCTTCACATCAGGTGGCCAAAGGACTGGAAATTCAGCTTAACCCGTCAAGTGAATATACAGTACTAATTTCTTTTAGGATGGACTGGTTGGATCTCCTTGCAGTCCAAGGGACTCTCAAGGGTCTTCTCCAACACCAGAGTTCAAAAGCATCAATTTTTTCACAATCTGATTTCCTAATAGCCCAACTCTTACTTTAGTGTAGGTAAATGTTGTGGCTCAGACAGTAAAGAATCTGCCAAGTATGCAGGAGACCCGCCTTCAATCCCTGGGTTAGGAAGATCCCCTGGAGATGAAATCACAACACACTCCAGTAGTCTTGCCTGGAGCATCTCCATGGACAGAGGAACCTGGTGGGCTATAGATATCACTTCTACATGGATTCTAAAATTTGACATGGAGGAACTTATTTACAAAGTAGAAACAGACTCACAATGTGGAGAACACACTTGTGGTTGCCAAATGGGAGGGGATTGTGGAAAAGAAGTACTGGGATGTTTGCTGTTCAAAAGAGAAAGTGAAAGAAAGGGTTAGTTGCTCAGCCGTGTCTGACTCTCTGCAACCCCATGGACCATAGCCCTACAGGCTCCTCTGTCCACTGGTTTTTCCAGGAAAAAAAAAATACTGGCCTGAGTATCCATTCCCTTCTAGAGAGGATCTTACCAATAAAGGGATCAAACCTGGGTCCCCTGGATTGCAAGCAGACTCCGTACTGTCTGAGAAGTTTGGGGTTAGTAGATGCAAACTGTTATGTACAGGATGGATAGAGAACAAGGTCCAACTACATAGCACAGGGGACTATACACAGTACTCTGTAAAAACCCAAATGGGAAAAGAATCTGAAAAAGATTAGATACTAGTTTTGTGTGTATAATCACTTGGCTCAACACTTGAAATTCATGCAACATTGATAATCAACTATACTCTACTATTAAAAAAGGTAAAATGGTTAATTATTGAGGACCCAGAAAAGAGAAGTTGCACCATTATGTTTTCTGGTGCAATTACAGAGCCTGAAAGTCATCTTTAGATGAAACACCACCATTTATATGCATTCTAAAATCATTACTCCTAGAATCGATCCCCAATGGGAAATCTGCAAGCATTGTACATCCTGGGGACAATTCCACAGGGAACCTGCCATCACAGACATGTGCAGTGTTGAGGTCCACCTGAAATTGGACGTTGGATCAGCTACCAGCTCCCTGTACCCTGGATAGCCTATTGCCTGAGGCTCACCCCTGTCAGCCATCACACAGTCGAATCTACTAAACCTTTGGTTCTGTTTTCTTCACCTACAGAAAGAGTAACTGAGACCAGACACGTCCTCATCTCAATGGAATCAAGATCAACAACATGAAGACGACTCTCCTGGTTCCTGATTAACATGATCGTGCTCTCTTCACATTCACACTCCTGCTCTCACCGCATCTCTCCTGGTCACTAAATCATGTCCTGGTCGGTGTTACTTGATTTCTGAAGGTTTAAATACATTGATTAAATATTTGCCCTGCACACGCATGTCTGTGCAAAAGTCACCTCATTTAAAACACACAAATGCCCACATTAAGTAAACAGGAAACTGTGCCTTTCATCGGACAGGTGTTCATCAGTGACAATCCTTATGACAATTTGGTAGACATGCCCTCAGGTGTCCAGGGAAGAGGGAGAAAATAGACTAAACCATCATGGAGAAGGAACATACCTCAACATAATAAAAGCTATATATGATAAACCCACAGCAAGCTTCACCCGCAATGGTGAAAAATTGAAAGCATTTCCCTTAAAGTCAGGAACAAGAAAAGGATGTCCACTCTCACCACTACTATTCAACATAGTTTTGGAAGTGTTGGCCACAGCAATCAGGGCAGAAAAAGAAGTAAAAGGAATCCAGATAGGAAAAGAAGAAGCAAAACTCTCTCTGTTTGCAGATGACATGATCCTCTACATAGAAAACCCTAAAGACTCTACCAGAAAATTACTAGAGCTAATCAACGAATACAGTAAAGTTGCAGGGTATAAAATTAACACACAGAAATCTCTTGCATTCCTAATCACTAACAATGAGAAAACAGAAAGAGAAATTAAGGAAAAGATACCATTCACCATTGCAACAAAAAGAATAAAATACTTAGGAGTATATCTACCTAAAGAAACAAAAGACCTATACATAGAAAACTATAAAACACTGATGAAAGAAATCAAAGAGTAATATTCCATGATGTATATGTGCCACAGCTTCCTCATCCATTCATCTGCTGATGGGCATCTAGGTTGCTTCCATGTCCTTGCTATTATAAACAGTGCTGCGATGAACATTGGGGTGCACGTGTCTCTTTCAGATCTGGTTTACTCGGTGTGTATCCCCAGAAGTGGGATTGCTGGGTCATATGGCAGTTCTATTTCCAGCTTTTTAAGAAATCTCCACACTGTTTTCCATAGTGGCTGTACTAATTTGCATTCCCACCAACAGTGTAAGAGGGTTCCCTTTTCTCCACACCCTCTCCAGCATTTATTGCTTGTAGACTTTTGGATAGCAGCCATCCTGACTGGTGTGTAATGGTACCTCATTGTGGTTTTGATTTGCATTTCTCTGATAATGAGTGATGTTGAGCATCTTTTCATGTGTTTGTTAGCCATCTGTATGTCTTCCTTGGAGAAATGTCTGTTTGGCGCTTTGGGCATTTTTTGATTGGGCTGCTTATTTTTCTGGAATTGAGCTTCATGAGCTACTTGTATATTTTTGAGATTAATTTTTTGTCTGTTGCTTTGTTTTCTATTATTTTCTCCCATTCTGAAGGCTGTCTTTTCACCTTTCTTATAGTTTCCTTCATTGTGCAAAAGCTTTTAAGTTTAATTAGGTCCCATTTGTTGATTTTTCATTTTATCTCCATTGCTCTGGGAGGTGACTCATAGAGGATCTTGCCTGGCTTTCTGTTATTGTGTGTTCTACCTATGTATTCCTCTGGGAGTTTTATAGTTTCTGTCTTACGTTGAGATTTTTATTCCATTTTGAGTTTATCTTTCTGTATGGTGTTAGAAACTGTTCTAGTTTCATTCCTCTACAGGTGGTTGACCAGTTTACCCAGTATCACTTATTAAAGTGGTTTTCTTTTCTCTATTGTATATTTTTGCCTCCTTTGTCAAAGATAAGGGGTTCATAGGTGTGGGGATTTATCTCTCAACTTTCTATTTTGTTCCTTTGATCTATATTTCTGTCTTTGTGCCAGTATCACACTGTCTTGATGACTGTAGCATTGTACCATCATCTGAAGACAGGCAGGTTGATTTCTCCATTTCCATTTTTCTTTCTTGAAATTACTTTGGCTATTCGAGGTTTTTTGTGTGTGTGTTTCCATACCAATTGTGAAAGTA